ATCCTTTATCTCTCAAGCATCTAAACCGCCAGGTTGCAGAATGTGAGTTTTCATGTCCATTGAGTCTCAGGTCTATTGCTTTGCATACTTTATTTGAAGCAGACCCTTCGATCCGTGTATCTCATACAGGCACTTACCCTTACTCAGATGCACATTAAATCTTCAACTCCAGTGGATAGTGTACCGACCGTAGATGGAGATCCTCCATCTCATCAGCTCCAAGTCACTTCGATCCTTGAAGATAAAGGATAAGAGACGGACAACGCCTACACTGGCAGTTTGAGTTATATATCCTCGCTTTTCTGATGATTGGGCGCAGATGAGTCCAGTGCAGTAACCATCTTTGTGTAGCGGGTCTCAATAGGAGCAAGACGAACATTGAACAGATTTGGATCACAAATCCTTCTGAGAGTTTGCACTCCTGTTGCATGGCCAGAGCATTTGTGTTTGGAATAGGGCCTGGTGTAGAGAGGGCCTGTTGTGTTGACGTGTTGAGTACTGGTTCCCAGAAGACCGGGTTGGAGACCTTTATTCGGCTATCCGAAAGAAAGAAAAAATGGGGAACGCTGCTGTTTTGAACCTCGCATTTGATTGGACAACTGAGATGGCGGTGATATAATATGGGTGCTAGGTGCAAGAGACAATCTTGATCGACCCTGGACAGTACGGTGGTCCAGTTCAATCGATATACCAGCTGGCCTTTACCATTGAAACCACAACACCTTACTAGCATTGAGAAGCTTTACAGGAGCAACCGACGTAGCGGCTCAAGCCTATATCGATCAGTGCTCGGCAAGTCCCTGGATTTAAGGTTATTGTAGACGTATCGATACGAAATGTACAGGTAGCGTCTAAGTACATTAGAATAGCGGTTCATCAGGCTGCCGTCCCCTGATGCCCATTGTTGCCTTGAGCCTGGCGATTCATCCAGCACTGTGGATTACTCACGTGTGTTGAAGTCACGACACTGATAGCCCTAGTTCTGGGAAATTCAAAGGGGCAAGGCTGTCGTTCTGATGGCCTATACTCGCTCGTATATTTAATGCCAGTTGCGTCGCTTATTTTACTATTCCTCTTACTGTGGATCTAAACACATGCTGGGCCGTCGAAGTTGTCAGAAGGCAAATGAGTAACAATTGTTGTGTCCAAGATACGCATATATAATATCAAGAATTTAATGTAAAGCTTTTGGCAGTGGGCGAGCGAGTATTAAAGGTGGCGGAGTTCAAAAAATAATAAAGTCCGAACTTAAACTCCAACCACATCGCAGCTTCATGGCCCCGACTGCAGTCAGCTTACAGAGTAGTTATATCACTTATGGTAGGTGTATAAACACTAAATACGCGCAAAAGTCGCGTTAATTGCTAGTAGCAAAGTGACCGCTGACTTGTCGTGGACACGGGACGACAAACTCTTTGGGTAGCCACAGGGCAGGCAGACAGCAGCAACAAGCTAACAAATTATCTCTAGTAATAATAGAAGTCAGAATACGGCTGATTATTGTCCAACGCTTGGGAAAGAGGTAACGCGCATTCTGTTACTGCTAGCCACCCATCCAAACTGTGTTTTCAGGTGCTAACCATACGTCCCCTCTCTCAAGTTTAAGACCATAGCAGAAGAATACTGATCAACACTGATATTCGAAAGATGAATACTGTGCCTCATATGCCGTCACTTCATCCTTTCCACTCTCAGCGTATCGCTCCCGTCGTACCACTCCTCCTGCCCATCATCTCATCATTCCACTTTCATTCTATTCTTTCTATGCTAGACGATGTGCTCATTAAGTACCCCCATTGCCATTCTTAGCGTTGCATTAGTCCCTGTTGGACTAAAGTTATCGTTCAAGGTATTTAAGCCATCCCGTCAGTGTTTCAAGGGTATATTACTGATCCTCATTCCCTAGACTGGTTTCGGTATGGTCTCTCTACCTTGCTTACGTGCCGCTGTGTTCTTTCCATTCGAGATTTGGTGAGTACGCAATCTGTAGTCGAGCATAGTGCCGAGTAGGATTAATGTATTGAAAATAAATTGGAATGAATATAATATTCTATTGAATTGAATTATTGTTTATTATTGATAAGAGTCATTTGAGTGGCGGTCGAGCATAGAAAGAATAGAATGAAAGTGGAATGATGAGATGATGGGCAGGAGGAGTGGTACGAC